TAAGGTGCTTTTAGACACGTTATAAAGTAAGAACAGGGACACAACACCCAGCCTCAAAGACCAACAACATCGGATTCGATGGCTTTACGGCAACATGAAGGAAGGCCTAGGAAAAGATGGATCGATGGAGTCAACAAAACCTTCAAGGGCACAGTATGGCGATCCGAAGAACAACACACTTGGCCCACGTCTGACAATTGCCTCTTTCCTGGACATCTAGCGGTATAACAGGATCGAAAAAAATTAAGTAACTCGTAAAAAAGGAAGCTTTTTTTCTCCAAAAATGCAAATAGGGAAATTTTTCAAATAATTTATTTTTCCTGAGCATTTTCTTTACTCCAGCGGCTATAAAATCAATTAGGTAAACTTTATTAAAACTCTCGCGTTTGCAAATGGGCATTGGGTAATACATTCAATTACTAGAAATTCAAATTTCAATTCAACTAAAGGAAATTAATTTAATGGCTGTGCACGACTTGTCTTCCTTGCGCGTTTAGGAACAAATATGTAAATAAGGGAAGTAGCTATGGAAAAGACGTGTGAATACAGGATTTACATGGTTACCTTTCATGATCGACTGAGACATGAAAGGTCAATGCTGTAATTTGTCAACTGACATCATTATTTTCACATCCTAATATCACAATAGAAACAAAGCGACAGCTCCTTATCTGCATCTTTATACAAACTCTGTGCAACCAAGCCAAAATATTAACAATAAGTAGGAGACACCAAAGTAAAAAGTAAACGTCAGCGAAATGAAGTGCCTAAGAAAAACTGAACATCACAAGAGAAAGGGTGAGAACCGACATAGTCAGAGAACAAGTTGGCTCGACTCCCTGCTTGGTGTACAGAGATGAATAACGTTTGAAATGATGTGGACATATTATGTCAAGACTACCACAAGACAGTATAGCAGCGAGAGCATACAACCTGAGATCAGATGGGTGTACAGAGGAAGAAGCATATAGGGCCAGGAAAAGGTGGACGGAGTCAGAACACATAAGACAAAAACAATATATTATAACCATGAAACAGGTGTAGAGGGTAGTTCCAGTACACATTTACAAAATTTGGAAAAAGTAATCCAAACTATGTCGACGGGGGAGTAAAATGTCTACAATGATACATTTAACTAGGGGAGAGTGGGGAGAAGTGGGCCGTGAGGGAGAAGTAGGCAAATCTAGGTGTCAAGTGCCATTTTGCACATAATTTTTTAAAATAACAAAATTGTCTCCAGCACAAGGAAGCAACTTCCTTTCTTTTTCAAGGGGGTTTGGTTGAATGGAGTGGAAAAGACGTTTTCACCAAGAAAAAGTTGAAATACTTTATTTTTTTAAACTCGCAACTTTACCACAAAGAGAAGCAAAACAGCTCGTGTATAGTGTAACAGTAGTAAAAAAAACTTATCTAATTACTTATTTTACATCTGTTCTCCGTGTTTTAACTGCCAGTTGAAGAAAACATACATTTGAATAGTTAGACTACCAATGGGGAGAAGTGGACCACCATCGGCCCAGTTCTCTCCACGTGTGGCCCACTTCACCCTTGTCGAAGCTATTTTTTAGACATATCTTCCCTATTTTATTAGAATATAACATAAAGATAGAAGTTTAGATTTAGATCTCGACTTTAAAAACAAACCTTGGGGTAGTAGCCTATTGTTGTAGTCTACCATTCTGGAGTTTTCCCTCTTTGGTGCTAGTGTGACACTGTGTACCTGCTTCTTTCTAGTCTTTTGGCATGAACCAGCGTCCCGCGGACACGCATTAAATGATTTATTCTCCTTTTTTTCTGTTCAATCTCTAGGGACAATATGTTACATATTAATCATCAGAGGAAGACCGGCATAGCCACAGCCTTACCTGATACAATGAACAATGCAGCGGCAGCTGTCAGAAATGGAGTGCCTTCGATTGAAGTCACATATACCTTCACGGCATTGTTCGCACTACCCTTCAAAATAATGTGAAGAAATTAAAGCTCTTCAAGATGAAGTTGAATTGTGTCCAAACTATCGTCGCAGTCAAGTATTTACAGTAGAACAGGAGGCTGATTCGACGCAGTACATGTTGAAATGTGCCAAAAGATCAGTTTGACAACTGCTCTGCAGAAAACTCGTCTATGACGTCGCTGTTGCAAATCACATCCTTTAAATCGTAGGCCTACCCACCTTCGTTGTGTGATGCAAAAATGTGCCCGAAGAAGTGGCAATGGGTTTTCTTTGGAGACATCCGCAACTCAGTTTGCGACAACCAGTGGCTACCTCATTGGCAAGAGCCATGACAGCTTTCAACAGACATTCTTTGGGAACATTATTCAACTTTTGTTCTTAATTTGCTGCACGCTCTTTCTAGATATATTTTAATGACCTGGGTGTCTCATCTGGAGATCAGATACTCAATCTTGATGAAACAGGAATCATAACAGTCAGTCCCCTTAAAGTCCCAAAAGTCGTCGGACCTCGTGGTACTAAGCAGTTGGGCCACATAACATCAGCAGAGCATGGCGCGGTGTGTGAGTTCTAAAAAAAACCACCAAGTTTTATTACAATATGTTGATGTTGTTGTTGTTAAAGAAAGAGACAAAGGTGATGTTGGGGTTGATTTTTTTTCCAGAAGAAAGGGCAAAAAGAGCCCACACTTAGTAAAACCAGTAGTGGAAGATATTATTTTCTTCTGTTCATATTCACTCAGTCAGAGCCATTTTACCCCCACCCACATTCTGAATTTACAGGCACTATTGAGAGAACCAGGTGACCTCTGTTTCTAGGTTGTGACTTTGGACACTTTGGTGGTCTTAATTTACGTTAAATTCGATATTTGTGTGTTGTGAAGAATTACGTATTGTTTTTTGTTTGTTTAGGTTCCGATAGCCCGGTAACGGATGTCACCTGAGGCCCACATCTGCCCAA